TTTTAATCTTGTGGTCAGTTTTTTCAAAGGCAAATTTGGCTGTTCCTCCTTACTTACACAAAGTTAGTCATGATATAGGATCAGATCTCAGCACACACTGCAATGGTCATGAAATCAGTTTATCTGAAATTCTGTTGTGGATAGAGAGCATCTTTGCATTGCTTTTTTTGTGTGGGTTTTTTTTTTTTTTTAATAGGAAGAACAGTCTCATTGTCATCTGCATCAGAGTCTCAGTTCATTCAAGGATGTGTCCCAAATGTAGGTGTTATATAAAATTAAAATGTCTTTTCTCTGTCTTTATTCTCTGTATTCACTGTATCACAGTGCTTGGAGTAGAAATAAATCGTTTTATCCTGACACTGAAGAAAGAACAATGGAACGAAATTCTGTTGATAGAACTCATTTGCTCACCTGTGTTACTCTGAATTGATGTTTAGTGAACCAAGCAGCAAGCTTGGCCTGCAGGTCCTGCTCCCAGTTCTCACAGTCCCTGCCTTTCTCATCTTGTAAGCATACTTACTGTTAGGATGCCAAATTATATAGCTTGGGAAGGTCTTAAACTAGTTACATGTCTAGGAAAACAGAACTCCTTTAAGGTGCTTTAGATAGAAGTGGTAACTGAAGACCAGTCTCTTACTTAGCAAAATACCAGCTTTGCCAAACAACCTTTTCAAAAGGACATGTCACACAAGGTACAACTGTAAATTATGTATTTTGCCTGGTACCAGCAAGAGGCATCTTAAGTACCAGTGAGCATACTTTGATGCCAGGAGAGCTGGTCCTTCAGCTAAAATATAATCTTTTTTGTGTTTGACTCTACCAATTCTGGGCTTGGTCTTTACAGACAACTCCACAGGGCTTCTATAAATCTCATGAGGTTATCTGTAGCCCCTGTTCCCTCCTCCTCCCAGGTGGTCCTGGTACTGAGATGGAAAGTAGCGAGCTCAAATGGCCCAGTGGTGCTATTATCTTAAGTATTTGGGTCAAGTACCAATCTTGATACTTTTCTTCCTTGTATTTGCACTTACATGCTGCTGAGCTGCAGTGCCTGCTTCTGTTGTACATTCATGTGGTTCTTTCAGCTTACATTTTGGCTGCAGAAACTTGGGATGAAAGCTTTGTGCCAGGGTAGTGCCAGGGTGGTGTGTGCCATACAGTGTTGGCTAATGGGATTCCTTAAAATCCCTTCACATTTCAAATAGATTTATGAGTAAGAGGGACAGTTTGAAGACATTGCAAACCCTTAAAGCCTAGTTGAATCCTGAATTTGGCCATCTCAACTATTTATAGACCACTCTATGCCTATTCTAAATACAATTTCCTCAAGAGAACCTAATCTCAACTCCCTGTTCTACCACTTCAGTTGGATCAGGAATGCTGCTTCCCTAGTTCTGTGGTAGAGCTGCAGATTTTGCTGGTTCAGGCCTTGAAGGGGAAATTCTTTGCCAGGCAGAACTCAAGGGTTTGGATTTACACTGCAGCCAGCCAGGTAGAGAGATATTGATGATATACTGGATCATTTCCTGTAGTCATTGCCTGACTATTTTTTAATATCCCTCTTCTGCTGGTAGGTCTTAGAGCTCTGGAGAGGGAAAATCACTTATTGGCAGTGTACAACACCTTTCCCTTTCAGGAGTCTTCAGTCTTGCAAACTAGGCTTAATAGTGAGCACACAAAACATTTTCTTTTTAGAGGAAGTGTAAAGAGTGTTCTGTGGGCAGAAAGCATTTTCTATTGCAAGGATGCTTGAATTTGGTCTTCTCTTTTTCTTTCTCTGCTATAGGGAAAATAAGTATCTCTTCTGTGGGAGATGTACTCACATGGCAGTGCTTGAAGAGCTGTGCCTCTGACTCTATGGGACAGTTTTTCCTGAAATGTTTCCTACCCACCAGCAGAAGCCTCCTCTTTGCTGGGTGGTGTTTTGTGACCCCACTGGCAGTACAACAGGCTGTACAGGTTTGCTTTGTGTTAGTGGAGGCAGGAGTGCAGTAAGATGGTATGGAACTGACATTTCAGGAGTGTATCCTGCTCTCAGTTGGCTCTGGAGGTGGGTCATACGTGTTCACTGTTATTTTCCAGGCAGATGAGCATGGGGTGTCTAGTACACAGGGTTTGAGTTCCACTTGCTGTTGCTTGAATGGAGTCAGACTCTCAACTCTGTTACTCCCACATAAGGATGGAGGATCTCTTCAGGCCAAGAAAAGTAACTCATCCCACAGTAGATTCTGTAGTGGAGAATCTTTACCTTTTAGAAGATTCCTATGATATTCCTTTTCAGTCAAAGGCTCTGGCTATACCATAGGATAGAAGTTTTGGTGCAAAGGGCACATTGCAGAACTTCACAGAGCATTTTTCATCCTTCAAGATTAAAAATATTTTAAAATATTTAGAAAAATGTGTCCTTTATTGAATCCTAAAGATCTGAACAGTTTCTTCTGTAGGATAGTTACATTCTGTCTGCCTGTCTCAGGAACATCTGCAGATCTGCATGGCAGATGTTGCAGGTCACAGTCCCGAGTGGAAAAATTTGGGTCAGTGTAGAGGCAGGATAGAACCCTGCATATCCTGAATAGCTGTGCTGCCCCACAGTATGTAGTGACTTTAATCTTTGGAAAAAAAAGCAACTGCTCCCTGTCCCTGTGATGTGATTGACCCAGATTCTACTTCATGGGTCTTGGACTCAACTTACAACTGGGTATAAAGTACTAAGACTGCTTGCTCTGGTTCAAGGCCAGGATTCAGAAGCAATGTGCCATTAGTGGCTGCAGAAGTCATGTCAATTTAGGTACCCGTTAGAAAACCTCTTCTTCTGGGTACAATGAAGGAGTGTCTGCTACTTATTTGGCCTCAGGAATAGAGAAGCCTGTGCAAGGCTTTGCCACTCCATAGATCAGGGTAATGTAGCTCGCTGTGTATCTAAGCCTCACAAAATGTTTTTGAGGTTGACAGAAGCTTTTCTTGGTTATTAGCCTTTGAGGATGAACAGGGCAGCATGTGGCAAGATCACGGAATGGGATTAGCTCAGGATTTAGTAAGAAGAGTTTCTTAGGACTCCTTCGGAGCTCTTTCCTTCTCTTGCAGCCCCTGGAGCTGCATGAAATGGAAAGGGTTATGTTCTTGCCTGCCTGGCAGGAAAATAATCCCAGCTCAGTGCAGCAAAATGGACTGGGTCTAGTGTTCTTGGAAGGAATGAAATAACTAAAGTATATTTAACATGGAATTTCTTATGGAGGATGCACAGTTACACAGAATATTGTCCCAGTATGCATTCTGCTTCACACACAGGCCTCTTCCTACAGTCTCCTTGGCTTTTCCAAGGAATCATTGTCCACATGGCTTTAGATTTTGCTCGAGTCATGGCTTACCTATGTGCATGCGTATAGCATTTCCTTGCTCCTGTCCTAGCATGCAGGAAAGGACAGGTAAATCTCTCTGAAAACACGGCAGTGTCACTCAGCCTAGTGCACCCTTAGCACCTTGGGATGCTGCTGCTGCACTCTGCTAAGGAGACCCACTCAGTTCAGGCAGCATCTGTGATCCCATGGGGATGCATTACCTCAGAAAAGGTACTGCAGGCCCTGGGGCTATGCCAGAATGGGTGCTCAGACTCTAGTGCTGATCATTTGTGTTTCCGTAAAAAACATTCCTAATGTGTCTGTCTGTGGTTCCTGGGCTGACAGTGTGATTGGCAGCTTTCTGGCTCACTCTGTTGTGCCTCTGGCTAGTTATTCCTACTGATGTCTCTCTAAGACTGGTGTCTTTGTAATGGAAGGTCTCCATTTGACCACTCTTGATATAAACAAACTATATTGCCTTTCGAAGCTGGAGTCAGTACTGTGTGCCAACAAAAACTAGTACGTTTGTGCGTGTAAGGAATAATGATCTGTCCCTTTTGCAGTGCTTATAATAGCTTCAGCCTCTCCATTCAGAGTCACTGGCCTTTGTTCCCTCATGGCCTAGGTGTGTTGGCTGAACAGAGGCTGGGAAGGAACCAAAAGCTTTTTACCACAAGATGAACACCAGGAGTCAAACAGCCCAGATATCAGGAACAGACTACAGTGCAGAGCTCAATTTTAAGCCTAATTTGAACACCAAATGAGGTGCTAATATCTCAGCTACTGTGTGGAGTCTCTTCTCAGTCTGCTGTTCGTGCTCTATGAATATAGGATAGTGGTATATATAGAATACCCGGTGAAAAGTCAGCTTTGTGCAACTGGTGCGGGCAGTGCGGGGTGAAGGGAAGTGTCTGGGTTTGGTGATGAAAATAGAAATCTGTCTTCATGTCTGTGTTCTGGGGAGCTGATCAGATATTTTATGGCATGTTACCGTCATTGCAGCTTGAAGAACCTATCTCAGAGCTGGCTTCTTTAATTGCCTGATTATTTAACCTGCCTCCGTTCCCCCATAAGAGGATGCATTGCCTTTGTTCATGTTGCCTTCTCATCAGTAAATGTAAAGCAAATTGTAAAATCAGACCTGCTTGAACTAACATTTGGAGCTATTCATTTATTCATGCACGAACCAACCCCCTGATGTTGGTCCAGCTTTTTTCTTAGACCAGAGAGAAAAAAGAAAAGTGAGTCAACTAATACTCTCTTTTCTTTTTGAAGTGTTGGTGAAACATTTGGATACCATGGAAATGAGTGTCAATATGGTGAAAAACTCATTTAGAAGGTGTTTAAAAAGTTAAATTTAGTCCTGGAAGTACTTTGCTGTGTTTTACCAGAGGCTTCTGCTTTTTTCCGTTGCTCCCAGTTTGACATGTAGGATGGACTTCACCCATTCCTAGGAGTGCAGGGAAGGCCCTGTCCCGAATCAGGTGGGACTTTAGTCTTAGTGCTGGGCCTGACGTCCACTTGTGTCACGTGAACAGTGGTGAATACCTCTGGTTGTTTTTTGCTCCTGCTGGGCATAGAATGGCTTTTAATCCCGGTTAAATCCTGTGTGCCAAATCCGTTTGCCTTTTCTTGAAAGGACTTCTCTTTCTTTCTTTTGCAGGCATGGTTCAGAAACTTGACCAGAAGCTGCCTGTAGCCAATGAGTATCTGCTGCTTTCAGGTGGTGTGCGGGAAGGTGTGGTGGACATTGATCTCGATGAGCTGAATGTTTACGCACGAGGCACAGACTATGACATGGACTTCACCTTGCTTGTGCCCGCGCTGAAGCTGCACGACCGCAACCAACCAGTCACGCTGGACATGCGCCACTCGGCTTTGTGCCACTCCTGGCTGAGCCTGCGCCTGTTTGATGAGGGAACTATCAGCAAATGGAAGGACTGCTGCACAATCGTGGACCATATCAACGGGGCTACCAATTACTTCTTCTCTCCAACAAAAGTCGCGGACTGGTTCTATGACTCCATTAGCATTGTCCTCTCTGAGATCCAGAAGAAGCCCCAACGAGGGATGCCAAAGGTGGAAAAGGTAGAAAAGAATGGGACTATCATATCCATCATTTTAGGAGTGGGCAGCAGTCGCATGCTGTATGACATTGTCCCTGTGGTGTCCTTCAAAGGTTGGCCAGCTGTGGCACAGAGCTGGCTGATGGAGAATCACTTCTGGGATGGGAAGATCACAGAGGAGGAAGTCATAAGTGGGTTTTACTTAGTGCCTGCGTGTTCCTACAAAGGAAAGAAGGACAATGAATGGAGGCTGTCATTTGCCAGGAGTGAAGTGCAGCTGAAAAAGTGCATCTCCAGCAGCCTCATGCAAGCCTACCAGGCCTGCAAAGCTATCATCATCAAATTGCTGTCCCGCCCCAAAGCCATTAGTCCATATCACTTGCGGAGCATGATGCTGTGGGCTTGTGACAGGCTACCCGCCAGCTACTTGGCTCAAGAGGATTATGCAGCCCATTTCCTCCTGGGTCTCATTGATGATCTCCAGCACTGCTTGGTCAACAAGATGTGCCCTAACTATTTCATCCCCCAGTGCAATATGCTGGAGCACCTCTCTGAAGAAACTGTCATGCTGCACGCGCGGAAGTTGTCCTCGGTCCGCTCAGACCCTGCCGAACACCTTCGAACTGCCATAGAACACGTCAAAGCAGCCAACCGGCTAACACTTGAGCTGCAGCGACGGGGCAGCACCACCAGCATCCCCTCCCCACAGTCAGACGGGGGGGACACCAACCAGCCTGATGACCGATTAGCCAAAAAATTGCAACAGCTAGTGACTGAGAACCCTGGGAAATCCATCTCTGTCTTCATTAATCCAGATGACGTCACAAGGCCTCACTTCAGAATTGATGATAAATTTTTCTGAGCTTTTGTCAATGTTTCTTGGGATTTTTTTATTTTGTTTCATTTTTAAAGACTCTTGCGGCGTGCAGGATTTTCCGTTTGATTTTCCTTGATGACTTAGTCTCTTGGTTTTTACATATCCAGTGTAGATTGGATCTGTTGAGAAAAATCTGAATAAATTATAAATCCTGGTTCTGCAGGACGGTGCAGATTTTGAAACAGTATATTACTATTTCATATGCTGCTTTGTTTTTTTTTCACTCACCCAGCCCCATTGTCTGTGAGTAGTTTCTAAAGGAGAACATCCATCGTAAACACATGCCACAATCTAATGTAGGGTTTTTTAAAGTTTCCATAATTTATGTACATTGTTGGGCCTGGAGAAATGACAACTCACCTTCTGTTGCTTCAGAAATTCACTTCTTTTTTCCATGAGCTTCCATCACCCTAAAGAAATGAGGAGAGACTGGGTTGGAAAGCACTACTGGTATTTTGATGAGGCCAAATCTACTGGGCTGAAGCCCAGTTCATCTGTTCTTCACACTTCTCACACTAGGGGAGAAAGTG